TTAATACAATATGTCATTTATGGATCATTTAAACTGGCAAGGATATAACATTACAGTTCCCTAAAGATGGTTCCTCTAACAACTTACAGTACAGTCAACCTCCAGATATCTTAAAATTTCCCTAATGACCAATACAAGAATGGGAATCACCACCAAATTTTTTTTTTTTTCACCACCAGTAATTTTAGAAACTAAACCAGCATTACAACTGAAAATCTTAACAGTTCTGCAACAAAACTGTTTTAGTAAATCTTTGGTTCTGTGAACTAAGCTCTTCAGAGCCAAGTTTCTTCAAACAATATTAGTTTCTCATAACCTGTCTTACTCTTCAACCAAACAGAATCTGGCTTCTGCTGGCTGAGTTTTTTTATTTATCCACCATGTTTTCAAACTTTATTTTACCTGACTTCTTTGCAGTTTTGGACACTGCAAACCACTTCTCTCTTGGCTTCTCTAACTCCACACTCCTGATTTCCCTATTTTTTTTCTCCTTTAAGTCTTCATGACTCCTTTCTAACTCCTGCAATAATGGTGTTCTCCAGTGAGCTCTATTTAGCCTCTTCCACTTTTCCTTTTGAGCATTCTAATGCACTCCCATATGTCTATGTAATACAAGAGAGGTTTGGCCTCATGATATTTGGGGTTTTATCTTCCACAAGCCATTCCCTATTCTGCTGCTGGACTAATCTATCTAGAAGACAAATCTGATCAGATCTGTCCCCTTGTTTAAATCTCATTAAGAATAGAGTCCAAAATACTTACAATGGCACATAATGCCTTCATGATTTGACCTGTACTTCCTTTCCAATATCACATTTCTCCTGTCATCACAATTTATGCATAGCTTTGTATTTAGGTTTTTCTGTTCTTCAAATTGACCCCAGTCCAAAATTCAAATGAACCTCCTTTGTGAAGCCAGAACATTACTTGCTCCCCCATTATATACTCTTTGTACATAAATTCTGTAATTATCCTCATCTACACCTCACTTTTCAATGGAGCCATCCAAAGGCACAACCACAGTGATTAAAAATAAATAAATAAAACTGAAGACCTTAGAAAGATCTGTAGAGAGAAAAGATTCAATACACTAAGAAAAAAGACAGAAAAATGAGGAAAAGCAATTGAGTTACAACTATTAGCTAATCTCTGTCAAGGCTAAATGAAATCTCTTTCTGTCTAATATAGGACAACTAGGATGAAACCAACACTTGAAAGATTTAATTTTAAACTAGTTAAGATGCAATCCCTAACTGAAATCTGGTTTAAAAAAAAGAACTGCGTTTCAACTGCAGGTGAAAATGAAATGACTTTCTACTGATGAGAGACACTGGCCTAATTATGTTAGCTCTCATCATATTAGAAAGTTTAAAACAGTAGTCAACCAAAGGAAACATACGCTAAGAGGGACTGACAAAGTGTCTATCACTAAGAAAAATTTAAAATGAATGAGAATGAAAATATGTGCCACATTGGAATCTGGTTCATTTTATTTCTTTAAAGCTGCACCTAGCATAGCTTAATCATTACAGAAAAATAAGTCAAAAAAAAAAAACACTTGTACTCATGCTACTTCATTTCTAGATTATGAAAATGAGCCACATTATATCCCTTATTCTTTCTTTCTTTTTTTTTTTGGAAACTCTACCCCAACGTGAGGCTCAAACTCACAACCCCAAGATCAAGAGTCACATGCCCTACTGACTGAGCCAGCCAGGTGTCCCATAACCCTTATTCTTTCTTAATGTAATTATTTATAAAATAAAAATGTCATTATTATTAGTGCACAGTGGATGTGAATAATCCTGAATACAGTCTTGGTATTAAGAAATCTGAATTAATAAAATTTTGTATTACAAATTTTGTTTGCTCACATTATATGAGTAGCTGAAAACTATGTTTTCCTTCACAAATTCTTAAAAAGAATACCACCTCTAGGATGGATTAATGATACTTCATGAGGAAAACCATGAGCAGAGAGGATCAAAACAAGCTCCTTTTCTTAAGTGCAGCATCTGTGAAAAAAAGAAAAACAGCAAGACAGCTCATTTCTGCTAAGTTACTACGGAAATCAAACTGGATATATTCCTGTACTTTCTTCACATCATATGCCTGTTTATTAAGAGAAATATATAAGCTTAACAATTAATAAAGGTATATATGGCAAAGGCCAAATTGGTATTGAATGAATGGACAGAAAGAAGGCAAAGGCAGGAGCTGGGCAAGTCCCCTCATCACCACCTTCTCTAATACAGATTAAATGAAAAAATTCTGTGCTCCCACAGTACTTTTTACATACCTCAGTATGAACTTTTTACATTAAACTCTATTTATTCACACATGTCTCTCCAACACAAATTCTAAGTTTCCTCTTTTATATTCTTAAAAAACATACATGTGCTGAAGCAGCCTGTTTTTAGATTTAGAATCAACAACTAACAATTCCTTCGTTAAAAAAAATATCTTGGGCAGAGTTCTTTTTTTTTTTTGAAAGAACATCCTCTGTCTTTTTAAAAGTTAAATCCCTACATGATTTTCTTTGAAACAATCCTAGGTGCTCCTAACCCAACTTCTGGTTGCAAAAGTAAGTTTTTTCAGGGCACTAGCACTAGAAGCTGCTACTTTGTACCTAAACTTAACATTTCTTGCCCCTTTATTTTCGGACATCTGGGAAAGACCAGTGGATCCTAAGTATTCTATAAAAATAATGTTGAGTGTCTTCCAAACAAATGTCATTTCATGTAAGTTTCATATATAATAGGTTAAAAAATCATTATACCATAAAAATTACAACCAGTAATAATTGTAATTAGTAAACGATTTTTATGCAGTTATCATGAAATAAAACCTAGGTCTACAAACCCATCATAAACTAGCAAACCTTCAGATGACTGATTCCCCACCATAAATTTTTTTTTTTTTTTAGATTTTATTTACTTGACAGAGACAGAGACACCGAGAGCAGGAACACAAGCAGCGGGAGTGGGAGAGGGAGAGCAGGCTTCCCGCCGAGGAGGGAACCCGATGTGGGACTCGATCCCAGGACCCTGGGATCACGACCTGAGCTGAAAGGCAGACGCTTAACGACTGAGCCACCCAGGCGCCCTCCCCACTATAAATCTTAAGTAAACCTAAGAATGTTACAGATAATGGAATGAGAGGGAACAAAAATCAGGTATTTTGCTATTCTCCTTTTTAACCTCCCCATAATCTCCACCCTCCCATACACCCCATGGCTTTCAATATATTAAAATTAAAATACTGTTTATCATTCTCTCTCTAACTTACATTTGTCAGCACTGAGTTACGAAATGTCCAAAAACTGAACATAAATGGAGAAGGAGGTAAAGTTTTACAGAAAGTTGTATGAATTCAAAACCTCTAAATTAATAGACTTGGTAAAGATACGGGTCTTCCCCCCCAACACACTTTAAGAGGCAGCATGTGTAAAAATAAATCAGGAAAGGTAAAAGCAGAATCACAAATAAGAACTATAGCATTATGCAGAATGGAACTTCACAATTTTCAATGTCGAAGTTCAATACTGTATAAGCAACAGTATTCCCCAAATTGTTTATGACTCTTTTTTCTCCTTCTAACAATCTAAGTCAACCTCATATAAAAACAAAGTTCTTATACCAGCGAAAGTGAATGCTAATGAAACCTGGGTTTCTGATGTACTACTACAAATCTGATGTACTATTCCAAATCTGATTTCACGAACTTGGCCCCAATCCATAATACGTTAATGTTAAAAAGCCATATACCCAATAAAGCAACCTTAAGAAACAGGTCTGTATAGTGTGACACATTGAGACTACCAAAGAACAACTTAGTTTAAGTATACTGACACAGTGACAAATAAGCGGTTCTGATGGTTCAGAAAAGTTACTCATCTCAAAGACCTAATAATGCCGCTAAAGCGAACTTTAGTAAGTGACACACCCAGGGCGGACCGCCACGTTAAGGATACAACTCTTCCGAGGTGGAGAGGGCTCTCGCCAGCTCTGACTGCTGCTGAATCCGGATCCTGCTCCTCCTCCCAGAGGAGGTCTGCCCCCCGGCTTGCCTCCTCGCTCACCCCCTCCTCGCCCCCGACTCCAGCGACTTCCACCCCGGTAAGGCCTGCCTCGAAAGCGGAAACGGTCCAAGGCGATGTGGCTCCGCTCCCAAAAGGACGGCCGGGGGCTGCTTTCGGACAGTGAGCTCGAAGGCATCCGTACGGAGGGCGGGTGAGACCGGAACGGCTCTTTGGGTCGGTAGCTGCTGTGTCCCCTGAGGTGGCCCCGCTCCGACGCGTGCCGCGAGCGTGAGAAATTCCTCAACTGCTGCTGAGAAGAGGACGACGACGACGAGGAGCCACCGCCTCCGCCAGATCCACCGCCCCGGGCCGGGTGAGGAGGCCTTCGCCGCGGATACGGCAACAGCCCGCCGCCACTGCTGCTGCTGCTGCTCCGGCTCCGTATCTGGCTGTTGTTATCGTCGTCGCTGATTTCCCCATCTTCTAGCTCCCCTTCTTCCTTGGGCGAGAGGCCACTGGAGGCCGGGGCCGGAATATCTGCGGTCGCCATCCCGGGAGCAGCGCCTTCCACACAACCTTAGCCCTCCGTCCGGGGATCCGCCCGACAACTGCCTTCCTCCTCGGTTCCCTTCTTTTCTAACGGACCCGGTCGGTGCGGCCTTACCCTACTCGGACACCTAGCGGGCTTTGCTCCCCAACTTCCCCGCACCCCAGCTCTTTCTCGCCGGACCGTCACAACCCAGTTCCCTTCCCTAGCGCCCCCTTGCTCCTCCGCGATCGGGGCTCTTCCGCCTCGCGAGAAAGGGGCTCTGGAAGTGGCTCTGCCCGTGATGTCACTTCCTGCGGCACGCAGGAAACAAGGCGTCCAGTTCACGCGATAATAATTAGGACGACGCGATTCTTGGTGGGACTTGTAGTCTTTCTTTTCTGTCTTCGGGTTTGTCCTTCCAACCTCTATCTCACACCCACCCCGGACTCCGGATTGGGATAGCTGGGTGCGTGGCGGGGTGGGCGGGCCCGTTCTTAATCTTGGCCGCAGGAGTTTCATAGTGAGGGGGGAGGGGGAGAGACACCTTTTTAATTGCTCCGAGGACTGCTGCCAAAGAGACGCAGTAGCCCTACTCCCTTTTGGGGGCCCGGAGGGGGCGGCTTGTGTCCGCCATGTTGGTGAAGGTAAACGTAGGCGACCGGAGCTCCAGGACTGTCTGCTTTGCTGGCTCAAGTCCGCCATATTAATAAAGAGACAGGGAAGGTTGACACCCCCCCCCACCCCCCAATATACAAACCCGTTTTTCCCACTCCGCATCCACGACTCCTCTCGGTGGGCCCGTCCCCTGCCTCGATTGCCTAGCCTTTGCCCGGAGGAAGCGTAGCAGCCAGCGCCTCAGAACAGGCTTAAGACAGCACCGAATGAGGGGGAAAGGGAAATGCCGACCAATTGCGCCGCGGCGGGCTGTGCTACCACCTACAACAAGCACATTAACATCAGCTTCCACAGGTAACATGGGCAGGGAGAGGGGGTGACGGAAACGGGAGCTCCTAGATTGAGTGTCGCTTGTGTGGAAGGCAAGAGGATTCTACTAATTCTAATGACTTCACTACCTAGCTAGTATAGCAGGGAAGCATCAGTTCTGCCCTTTGTGTGTGTTTCTCAAATCTGTCCAATTTTTTTCTTCTTCGGGGAAGATTAACTCACTTTGTAAAAGAAATCCAAGTTCTGTATGGTGGTTACTCCTTAGAGAAAAAGTAAAAGAATATCTTAATTTTGTTTTAATGTTAGACTGGCTCTTGACATGAATGATCCCTTAAAAGGAAGCGAAACCTTCCTATTCAAGTCAGCAATCCCTTAAAAGCCTGCTGTGCTCCCATTAAAATTAGGAAATTCTCACTAGCTAAATTGACATGGGAAGCATTTAGATTTCTGATAATCACAAACAGTTACTGCGGAGGAGTTGAGTCATCATTGATATCCGTGGAATTAAGAGATGTTAATGAAAGTGCAAAAGGTAAGCTTTCTGTTCTTACCGGAATAGAGTAATGAAGAGAACTTAGGTTTTGTTTTCCCTCCGTTTGCTGGAAGAGCAATCAAAAGTCTTTAGTTCTGTCAAGTCAGAACTCTTGAAAACATTGTGAACACTGCATGAAATGTAGTTAAGTACTCGGTAAATGTTTACCTTCTGTGCAAGTGCCTGCCATGTGCCTGAAGAAAAGAAGCGTTGAAAAAAAAGTTAGGGCGCCTGGATGGCTCAGTTGGTTAAGCGACTGCCTTTGGCTCAGGTGCTGATCCTGGAGTCCCGGGATCGAGTCCCACATCGGGCTCCCTGCTCGGCGGGGAGTCTGCTTCTCCCTCTAACCCTACCCCCCTCTTGCGCTCTCTCTCTCACTCTCTCTCTCTCAATAGTTCTGATTTTATATTATCTCACAACTTAGTACGAACTTAGAATGTGGAAAATTATATCCTTGACCCTTTCCTTACTAATTACTAAGTGACCTCTTATTAAAAACTGCTACTTAAAAAAAAATCCTTGTGATGTTTGTTTTTCAGATATTTCATGGAAATGTAGTGCTTCGTTCATTGATCCATCAAATTATTTGCCTGACATTGTGCTAGCGATCCAGGAAATTTTTTTTTTTTTAAGATTTATTTATTTATTTGAGAGAGAGGGAGCGCTCTAGCACGCGTGAACGGGGGAGGGTAAGGGAGAAGAAGACTGAGCAGACCCCCCTCACACGTCTGGAGCGCCACTCTGTGTTGGATCTCACTTCCCTGAGATCATGACCTGAGTCAAAATCTAGAATCTGGGGCTTAACCTGCTGAGCCACGCAGGGGCCCTCCCACCCTCCACCCCTGGAAAACTCTTACACTCCTTGAATTTAGTAGGTAGTGAGAAAGACATAATTATGGTTAAGTGTCACAGAAGAGACACTCGGGATACCTAACTTAGCCTCGTAAAGTCAAAGAACATTTCTCAAAGGATGTGAACTTTCAGATGATACCAAAGGATGACATAGATTTAGTCCCGTATGCTACTTTACAGATTCTCTCTTTTATCCAATGAGTATTTGAGAAAACATGAAGGTTTTTAAAAGAAAGGCATGATTAGATTTGCATTTTAAAAAGCCCTCTGGCTGCAGTGTGGAGAATTAATGGTGTTACTTAAAGTTTTGGTCAAGCATCAAGAGATGAATTTGATGAGATACAAGCTTATTACACAATATTAATTTACCTACTATTTCTTTCACAGGGAAATTCTGCAGTGTCAACTGAGCTAAACAATGTACTTCATTGCTGGCACAATCAGCACTAGATTAGAAGAGGTGAGAGTAGGGAAAAAACAGAAACTTGGAGTAAAACAAGGGAGAGTCCACCAGTAACCTAGACTAGAGTGATACTGACAGAGATGGAAAGAAGTAAACAGATTTAAGAAATGTTTGAGTAGAAACTACTGTATGGTAATTTGATGAGGAAGATGAAGGAGAGGGAGGAGTCAAAGGCACCGATAATCTTGAATGTTTAAGAGATACACAGTGGTACAGTAATATGCATACTTGACCATTTACCTCCTATCAAATTAACCTTTTCATGGAAATTTAGATCTTAACATTATAATAAATTACATTCCTATTTCATAAATACAATGTTTGACTAACTTCTTTCCTAGGATGTTGATAGACTCTTTATCCCGGTGTACAACTTAGGCTCCCTAAACTCAACTATCTCCATTTTTCTTATCTCTTAGCTGACTCCAGTCTAAGTCCCCCAATAATCTTCTGAAACTGCTCTTCCTACGCTAAATTATCACTCTTGTATTTCTTTTTCATGGCATGTCTTCATTTCCTCCTTGAAACACTCCACTTTTGAATTATTTGACACTAATTTTGTGCTTTTCATCTTCTTTGACCGGTCGATCTTCAGTTTTCTCTGACAGCCTCTTCCTTTCTCTGCCCTCTGGCTTAGGTCTTCCCACTCTTATCACAATGATTTCAGCTGTTCCTGTGGTCTCAGTTAACTCGTTGGTGTCTCAGTATTTCCCTTGTCTCTCTTCGGTTGCTCAGGTTCAACATATCAAAATTTTTACATTAATCAACTTGCTCTTACCACCCCTCCCCATTCCCTTTCTCAGTAAATAAAACACCATCCATCCCAAAAGTGGGAGGTCATCCTCCCTTGACTTCTCCCCTATTTCCTCTTGATTGGATTATTACAACAGCCTCTTAAATGGTTCACTGCTTCCATTCATGCACTCCTAACCTCTCTTCTATAATCAATGGTGTGTTGCTAAAGGTTTAACAACAGGATCTCCAGGGAAAGGGGAAAGCACTGATTTGTAGCGTTTGCCCAGCTTCCATGATATAAATACTCTACCATGGCTGGTTTCAAGTTAATTGATATGACATCACTAATCATAGAGTCGGGAAGAAATGTGCAGTACCACACGCAGAATAGACAATTTTAAGAATATAGATAATAGTAAAGTAATTAAGAAATGATGGGTTTCAGTATTTATTACCTTTGTTCTTCATTTAAATTCAAATGTACATAATTTTTAATAATGGCTGTGTTTAAGAGCTAGTTAAAACATTTTATGTTGGGCGCCTGGGTGGCTGTTGTTAAGCATCTATCTGCCTTTGGCTCAGGTCATGATCCCAGTGTCCTGGGATCGAGCCCCGAATCAGGCTCCCTGCTCTGCAGGAAGCCTGCTTCCCCCTCCCACTCCCCCTGCTTGTGTTCCCTCTCTCAGTGTCTCTCTCTGTCAAATAAATAAATAAAATCTTTTTAAAAAAATTTTTTATGTTAATAATCAGCTCTCTAAATTAGGCCTTTTAATGGCCTACCGATGCCATTTTTGGATAAGAGTTCAAAATTACTCTTTAACTTAGAAGGCCCTCCAGCATCATTTCATATCATAACACTCTTCCCTGTCCCCGAGATACATAACACTCTTCACTACTCCCACCCTACCTTCTCTATGTAATGCCTACTCTCTTAAAACCTCCTGACTAGATTAGCTCTTCCTGTTTTATGGTTCCCTGTCACCGTATACTTAACCTTTGATAACACTCATGGCACCTGTAATTACTTTTATATTAATAAATAGTCTTTAGTATTTACTGTGTACTGTGCACTGGGTGAATTATTTACTTACATTATCTCATTTAATCCCTGGAACTATATTAGGTACCATTATTACTCCACTGTATAGATGATAAAACTGAAGCCTAAAAAAGCTAAACAATATGCCTAACATCATTCAGGTATTACACAGAAGGAACCAGGATTGGCACCTTGATTTGACTCCAGAGACAATGTTCTCAGCCACACTTTTTTAATGCATCAAGCCATTTGATTCTCTACCCTTCCCATTACAGTATATCCTCATGTAAAAAGTAGATCCCATAAAGGTAGGTCAGTTTTGTTTACCACTATGTCTTCAGTGCCTAGGACACTCTTGTAATATAAAAGGCATTCAGCTATTAATACTCCAGCAAAATAGCATTATTTAAGACACTAATTTTCCAAAACATCTAATGTTTCTGAAACCTTGGTTCTATTACTGGTAGACAAGATATATCCATCAGTTACCACCATGTTAATTTTTTAATATTTGCAGGAGGATTTATTATTACTTAAATTCAGCTTCTGGGCTACATCTCCCACCCTTTGAATATGCTGAGAAAAATCCAAACTCATGAAAAACATAAGGTTAATGCTGTATAAAAGAATTGTCTAAAATCAAATATAAAATGGTTATTTTTATTCTATTTCAATACGTAATTAAACATTAGTAATGCCAAACTAATCCCATTAGTTTGTTCATTCATTGATTCACTGAGAAAGTTCATTGAGCGCATAATTCACAGGATGAAGTAGTGAAAAACACTGCTCCTAACGAGGAGAAACAAGATCTAGGGGTAGGAATAGAAAAGTAAACAATTAGAATACAATGATATTCTATATAATATACAAACATCTAGCCCAGTCCATGGAATTTCCTTAGGTATATGGGATTCCTAAATTGAATCTTAAAATAAGGAAAATTGGCTCAAGTTAAGGTTCAATTAGGCATTGGTTTCATAATTAGGGAGCTAGTTTTAACAAGAGCTAGGACACCTGACTGGCTCAATTAGTAGAGCATGCGACTCTTGATCTCGGGGTCTTGAGTTCAAGCCCCACGTTGGGCGTGGAGCCTATTTTTAAAAAAAATAGTTTTCGATGGACATTGAGGACATTTTGATGTGTTGTGGCGAGTGCTGGGTGTTGTGTAAGGCTGATGAATCACAGACCTGTACCCCTGAAACAAATAATACATTACGTATTAATTAAAAAAATAAAAAACAGGGGCGCCTGGGTGGCTCAGTCGTTAAGTATCTGCCTTCAGCTCAGGTCATGATCCCGGGGTCCTGGGATCAGGCCCCGCATCAGGCTCCCTGCTTCACAGGAAGCCTCCTTCTCTCTCCCACTCCGCCTGCTTGTGTTCGTTCCCTCTCTTGTTGTGTCTCTCTCTGTCAAATTAATTAATTAAAAAATTTTTTTAAAAATAAAAAATCTAAAAAAAGTCTCTGCAAAGTTTTCTACAAAGCTAAAAAAATTAAAAGGTTGAAAAACAGTATCTGACAGTCTTCATATATCTGAAGATTCTTACAGTAATGATAATACAATGATACTTATTTGTTCTGCACCTTTATTGAGGGCCAAACAAGAAATGTGCTTGTAAGCCAAAGCTTGACTTTTAGCTGAGGCCATAGGAAACATCCAAACCATTAAATACTGGAACAGAGATCTTTGAAATGAGAATACATTATTATTAACAGGTAAAGGCTAGGCAGAGTAGATAAATCCTCCATCAGAGGTTTCTAATGAAATAGAAAAAACTTACATACATGAAAACATGAACTGTAGAGTGACATACAAATGTTAATATTTTCAGATTAGGGTATGTTTAGGTGGTGTGATAGGGACAGGAGATGGGAGGGTGCCTACCAGTTAATCTGGTTTTTCATTTTTTTGTGCCCCTCACTGCTGGTAATTTGAGCAAACCTACTGTATCTGATCTAGCCAAAGCTGTTGTTACCTAGTAAAGCTTCACTTGGGTGTTTCTGAGCCATATGATCTTTTAACATGATTTTAATGGTTCTTTTTAAACATGAGTTAGTTCATAATTAATACTTAAAGGATAAAGTAATCAAACTAAAGAAGAGCTCAACTCAAACTTAATACATGTGAATGTTGATTTCTTATGTTTTCAAGTCAGCATACTTACCACTAGAATTTTGGGGCAGTCCCTTATATTTTTCTCTTCCTTAACAGGTATACACTGGTACATATCAGTATATTTTGTATTTAAGATAAATATGAAAGGAATAACATTCGTGCTGAGCTTGTCAGCAGCATTTTACACTTTGTAATAATTATGCTTTCTACTACACTACATAGCTTAAGAGTTCATTTTTTAAAAATATGTGCAGTTTACATGGAATTAATACAGTGAATTGTTAATTTATATATTGTTTCATATCAATGAAGCAAACCAATTTGCTTCATTGATATGAACAGTTGAGCCCCTACTGTTTGCAAGGCACTGTGCTAAAATAGATGATATAATGATCCCTCACCTTAAGAAACTTACAATCTACTTTTATTTCACTGGAAATTTATTAAAGTGGAAAAACTACAAAAGAATGTGTTAATTGTCACAGTGAAGGAACACAGAGGAAGGAATACCAGAATCTGTCTAAGTTTTCCCTGATAAAATTTAATCTGCAGATTTTTGATTTGTCTTGACCATGTACATACATCAGGAGATCATAGCATTGTGAATTACTCGTGCTTATAATGGTTTTACGTAACCTTGATCTAGATCAGTATAGTCTTGTTTATTTTTACTGCCCATGTTAAGAACTAGGTTGGGAAGAAAGGTCTCTTTAAAACCCTGAAAATTAAAAGCACTTAAGTCAGTTTTTCATTAATTTTTTTGCAACTTATAAAAAATAGCATGAGGGCGCCTGGGTGGCTCAGTTGGTTAAGCGACTGCCTTCGGCTCAGGTCATGATCCTGGAGTCGCGGGATCGAGTCCCGCATCGGGCTCCCTGCTCGGCGGGGAGTCTGCTTCTCCCTCTGACCCTCCTCCCTCTCATGCTCTCTGTCTCTCATTCTCTCTGTCTCAAATAAATAAATAAAATCTTAAAAAAAAAAATAGCATGAATTGGTTTTTGTTCCAGTGTCTGGATATTAAAATTTTGTATGTAGATGGAAGGCACTTTAAATCATCATCTTTTAAAATTTCTTTTAACCATTAAGGTGCAACCAGAAGTGTGATTGCTGGAATATGAGTTGCCTTTTTTTTCTTTTTTTTTTTTAAAGGTTTCCTTTGGATCCTAAAAGAAGAAAAGAATGGGTTCGCCTGCTTAGGCGCAAAAATTTTGTGCCAGGAAAACACACTTTTCTTTGTTCAAAGCACTTTGAAGCCTCCTGTTTTGACTTAACAGGACAAACTCGACGACTTAAAATGGATGCTGTTCCAACCATTTTTGATTTTTGTACCCATTTAAAGTCTATGGTAGGTAACATTACTTTTCTTTTACCCATTTTTACCATTTTTGGTACCTATTCTTTTTTGTTTACAAATTAGAACAATTCAGAATATATCGGAATTCATATATAATGATATGCCTCAAGAAAGTCACAAAACTTCCTCTTGTGCAGTAAAGGTATAGACTACAATTAGAGCTCAGGTCTCCTGACTCCAGTATTCTTTCCCCAATCCAAACTGATTTTATATATTGGAATTTTACATTACTTCCAGTTACTATCAATAATTGAACCAATGGTAAAACAGAAATCATGAGTAATGAAACCTCTAGCATCATTCTGCTTTTGATTTTAAGATAACATTCAAAATGTGTGTGAAGAGCTTTAAGAATACCAGAGTTACACCAAAGAATATAAGTTCAGAGGAGGGCATCACAGAAAACTTCATAGAGCTCAGGCATTTAGGCTGGAGTTTGAGCTTGGAGTTTGGAACTCAGGAGTGGGTTCTTAACCTTGCACAGGACAATTACGATAACATGAGGAGAACAAAAGTCAATGGGTTGAGGGTTAAGTAGAAAATAATCAAATGTTAGCAAGTGATATGTAAAAGAAAGGAGAGAATTAGGTACATGATGAATGTATTAAACAATATTTTATCTAGTTGGGAAAAATCTGATCAGAGAGGAAAATTTATTTGTCCACAAATGAATTCCTGTGTTTTTAATAAATGTTGACTCAATAAAAGAAACGAACTTATGAAGTTATGACATAATCTGGGAACTGAAAGTGATTTAATATTATGGGAGTATAAATCAAGATGGTGAATGGCAAAATGGGGTGAGATCCTAAATTGTTAAGTTTGCTATGTAAAGATTTTTTATCTTTAGATAATGAGGCAAAGAGGAAGTTAGCCAGTTACAGAAACATCAAATCTGTTAGAAAAACTATTCTGGTGGCAGAATATGAATTAGTGAGGCTCAGAATGAGGTGGACATGATTAAAGAATTTTTTAGTATATTCAAGCCAGATATGATAACATGCCTGATGTGGGCAGTAGCATTAAGAATGATGGGGAGAGGAAAGGATTCATGACAGAGATATTTAGGAGGTAGAATTAATTGGACTTGATGACTAATTGAATAAAAGAGATAAAGAGGAAAAAAAAAAAAAGAGATAAAGAGGAAATAAAGTCCTCAGGGTCTTCAGATTTGGGTATAAAGTTCCTGGCCAGATTTTAAATCCTTGAATGGAAGATGTAACTGTGAACATTTAATAAGTAAATCTATTCAGGAGCTTGATACTTGGAAATAATTTTTTATTAAGTAGAACCCCAGGTTTGAAATATTATCAATTGAAAGAATAGTGTTTACCTAAAAAAGAGATTAAATCAGTATCAGAGATAAACCAAATGTCTAAAAATACATTATATTGGCCTTAGTGAGAAAATTGCAAAAGATTTTTAAAGTCTCCCTAAAATCATACTCAATAACTTGAAAGAGACCTTGGAAGTCCATTGTCTATTTTCAAACAATGTTTGTATCCCTCTGAAGAGAAAAGACAAAACGAAATAAGGTGGCTGGAGCTAATTCAACAAGTTGAGAAACTTGAATCCACGATTACATGAGATGGGCAGCTGATGTTTCCTTTCAAACTTTTAAAATCAGTTTTTAAAAGAGCAGCTTAATTACTTTTGTACAAAACTGGGCAAAATTTACTTATTTGTGATATTCCATAATTTATGTTCAACCCTCTAATTTTATTTGGCTTAGAAACTCAAGTCAAGGAATCTTTTGAAGAAAAACAACAATTGTACCCCAACAGGACCATCTAATTTAAAATCAAACATTAGTAGTCAGCAAGTACTACTTGAACATAGTTATGCTTTTAGGAATCCTATGGAGGCAAAAAAGAGGATAATTAAACTGGAAAAAGAAATAGCAAGCTTAAGAAAGAAAATGAAAACTTGCTTACAAAAAGAACGCAGAGCAACACGAAGATGGATCAAAGCCACTTGCTTGGTGAAGAATCTGGAAGCAAATAACATATTACCTAAAGGCACATCAGAACACATTTTACCAACTGCCTTAAGCAGTCTTCCTTTGGAAGATTTCAAGATTCTTGAACCTGATCAACAAGATAAAACATTACCAATTCTATAAAACATTCCTTTTAAGATTAGCCCACAAAGAACTTGATGCCCATCCTTCATTCTATTCAAAGGTAAAGATATTTAAGGAAATTATGCCAAAATTGGGTATTTAATAAAGTTCTACTTGAAGTAACATTATTACTGTATAACTTACGAAGACTAGATTATAAAAAAATGGAAACTTTCTATGAAACTTATATTTGAAAAAGAATGGAAGTGCCTTACATAAGAATTATGTACTTAAAAATTTTGCTAGAAAGTTGTATGTTTGCAAGGTGTTTTGCGTTTTTGTCTTTTAAAACTACTTTTAAAGAACTGTCTGTGACAATATGTTTAAGTTCTATTAGAAGGAAAATTTTTTTTAATGTACCAGTGTTGGGATATTACATTCTAAATAGGATGCTAAGTAAGAATTAGCCAACATTAAATATGACTTTAAAACTGCTGGGTTTTGTGTTAATTGAATTATTATTGGCACTGTGATTTGGAAATTTTATAGGAAAAAAATCTGAGGTGTACAAGGCAAGTTGTGTTATTTAAACTTTCTGTATTTACTCACCAAAAGTGACAAAAGTCAAGGCCTCCTTCATGAAAATATTAGCTTTTAAGATAGATTATAAAATATTTTGAAAATAATATTTTGAATGTGAAGTACTCTTGAGTCATCCAAGCAAGGTAAGGTCTCAAGTATCTCAGACTAGAAAAACTGGTAGCCAGGGGGTGCCTGGGTGGCTCAGTCATTAAGCATCTGCCTTCAGCTCAGGTCGTGATCCCAGGGTCCTGGGTTCGTGCCCCACATCAGGCTTCCTGCTCAGCAGGAAGCATGCTTCTCCCTCTCCCACTCCCCCTGCTGTGTTCCCTCTCTCGCTGTGTCTCTCTCTGTCAAATAAATAAATAAAATCTTTAAAAAAGAAAAACTGGTAGCCAGTTATATGTTGTGAAATAATGTAGACATTGTGATTTAGCTTTTACCTTAGTTAAAAGGATAAATTTATACTAATTTTTTCTCATAATAAAAATATTACATTTTCAATTCCAAAATTGATGCATTAATTAGGCAATGTGATACAAAGTTCCATGTTAGGAATACCTCCTCTACCCCCGCATGTATGTTGATACCAAAACATGTAAGCTTTTTTTTCTCCCATAAGCCCACATTAGGATTTAATCACAGAAAAGTACCTACCATATTATATCTTCACAACTTATACCTTAAAATGGAATCAATTTATTGTACATATCAGCTTGCTTTTATCTCCTTTTTTAGCAACTGTACTGCATAAGGGAAGTGAAATGTATTTTCTATAAAAATACATGTGTCTGATAAAGTTATGAAAATGCTAATTATTTTACAAAATAGAATATGAGAACTATGATAGCTGCCACTTGAACTAAATATCACCAGACAAATTTTTAATTTTAGTAAGAATCCTTTCCTTCAAACAACTTTGGGCAAATCACATTAACTTTATTAATGTGTAATCAAGTTATTCAATCTTAGTTCAAGCTTCTGACACTACCATATGAAAGTAGCATGCATATACCTAACCGTAATTGTTATAATTTTTCCTGTAGGTAACGGCTATTTTATTTTATAAAGTAATTTTGGGGAGGGAGTTGGGTTGGGTTTTGTTTTGGTTTGGTTTGGTTTTGGTGACATTTGCTTGGATTGTAGCAATAGTCTTTTTACAGTATTAGCACCCTTTCTTTCAGTAAGGAATGGCTCCCAAGCAACTAGATTTACAAAGGCAAAGGTAAGAAAAGTCTATGTTGGTTATCATGAGGCGCTTAAAAATCTATGAAAATCCTTTTGTGAATATTATAAACCTTGTTAGTCATTTTATCTTAAATATTGGACACAGCTCCTTGAAATTGTCATTCCATGTTTTTTTTCCTAATATGGTTTCAAATATCTCTTCACTTACTGACCATAGCTTTATACCTCAAAATAAGCTGGGCAAATAATCATCTAAACATAAACTGTGTTTTCCAAGTATAAACTCTCATGTGGTTCATCACCACTTCCCAATATAAAACAAAATACTGATTAATGCAGGCTAGTTCCCATCTACAATTTTATTTTGATATCAATATAACATTTTAAAAATCACAAAAATAAAACAAAATACAAGCTTTTGGCCAAGTTAACTAGACTTCATTCATTATTATTTGAGACTACTGAATAAACTACCACTCAGTAATTTTAAAGTACATTTTTTTTGGTGTTTTCTCCATGTCATTTTCATGTTACTGTCCTGATAACATGCTCCAAATTCTCCCTGCATCAGGTTGTTGGATTAACATTCATACATCTGTCTACCTTAAAACTAGTCTCATTCATAGAGAAAAACCTAAATCTTTTTAAATCCTGTTTTCAGTTGTTGATAAACTTATCACTTTGACCATCTACCATAAAAATAATCAAAATTAGAATTGGGCGCCTGGGTGGCTCAGTTGGTTAAGCGACTGCCTTCAGCTCAGGTCATGATCCTGGAGTCCCAGGATCGAGTCTTTCATCGGGCTCCCTGCTCAGCAGGGAGTCTGCTTCTCCCTCTGACCCTCTCCCCTCTCACGCTCTCTCTCTCTCTCTCTCAAATAAATAAATAAATCTTTAAAAAAAAAATCAAAATTAGAATAGCTCTTTTTCTTTTGCTGGACCCAACACATATCCTCTGTTCATTCTATGTCTATTATTCATTCTCTGCTTGCTAGGCACTAACCTCTATGAAGAACCAGCCAAAGGCTAATGACTTGATACAACGATGACATGATTATCTGCCCTTAAGTTCCTCAAAAGTCTTCTGAGAGAAAAAAATATATTTGTAATACAATATGATAAATGCTATAAAAGAAATCTATGTGAAGTGCTTTGGTAAATGCTGTTGAATTGGAATTTAATAAGCATATAAACTTTAGATCTTTTTCCAAAAAACTTTTCCCTTGAAAAAAACAGATTTCTTCTTACGACTTACCAAAGGAGACAGAAGGACATCAGAATTGACCTGAATTATATACAGTGTTCTTTTAATGAGTTGTAAGACATTTTTCCCCTTGAAAATGAACACTGAACAAATTAGTTGTTAATGGTATCATTTTAACAGGAAAACATAACTAAATAAACTACTGTATCAAAGCCAAGTACTCAAGGTTATTTGACATTTGATATTTTTATAAAATAACAAATTCTACTAACAGATTTTTACGAATAATTTAGCTCAGAGTCTTAAGGTTAACAAAGCACTATGGCATCCATTTGATCTCTTGTGCTTTACAAATATTTTCTGTGTGATAGGTGGCGTTATCTCCAATTTACAGATGAAGAGATCCTTGTTAATGTTATTTATTTATTTATTTAGATGTTTGATATGTGCCAACTGGCACAAAGGATAGAAATGCCAGCAATCTAGGAAGTTCAATCCTAGATTGAACAATGGTCTTCAGCCTTCAAATCCTCTGCTCTGCCCTCCACATTGCAATCCGTTATCCAACATATGAATCATGTTATTAAAGTAGGACAAGTCATCTGTTTCAAAAAACTAAAATAAAAAATTTTATATATGTGTATAGTTAAGATAATCTATGAAGTCACTGTAGATCTTTTCTAGGTAGACTTTATATAATGTTGGTATTTTATCTCATTTCTCAATGTTAGAATACGGGTAAATTTTAATTTTGGTATAATAGAGAAAATAGTTCATCTTTATGCCAGAATATGGGATTCTGTAGGTATTTAGACAGTAGGAAACTTTCTAAAATTAATGATTTTATAATGTGTATTAAACAAATATTGTATTCTGAGTATGTTATTAAAAACTTTTTTACAAGGAAATTACTGTCATGACTATTTTACAAAATGTACATGAATATCTCTGCAGAAGTCTTTCCCCTACATGGACCCCCTAAAATATTTCTGTAGAAGTCCTTGACCCTAAATTGAAGCAAACTGTAAACAAAATAAAGATATGTAAAGCCTAGAAGAGGAATTCTCATTTTTATTTTCATTGCTCAAGTTATACCTAAGCATACATTATAGTTTATTTGCACTGGGTTTTTGTTGTTGTTGTTTTTTAAGATTTTATTTATTTATTTGAGAGAGAGAGCACAAGAGCATGAGCTGGGGTGGGGGGGATGAAGAGCAGAGGGAGCGGGCCAAGCACTGAGCACAGAGCCCGGTGCGCTGAGCACAGAGGACCCAGAGGTCATGACCTGAACTGAAATCAGGAGTTGGACGCCTAACTGAGCCACCCAGGTGCCACTGCACTGTTTTATACTGGTTATGGGATCTAAACCAGATATATAAAGGGCTATAAAAATTCTCTGTATCCTGACAATAGAGGCTCACACAAAGATTTATTTGTAAATATGATTACCAAAGCATGATTTTAATAACAAAAAAGGAAATAAGATGTGATTATTTTTTTTAAAGATTTTATTTATTTATTTGACAGAGAGCGAGCACAAGCAGAGGGAGCAGTAGAGGGAGAGGGAGAAGCAGGTTCCAGGCTAAGCTGGGAGCCTAATGTGGGGCTCCATCCTAGAATCCTGGGATCATGACCCAAGCCAAAAGCAGACACTTAACGACTGAGCCACCCAGGTGCCCCAAAAGATGTGATTTTTTTAAAAATTCATTTTTTACTTGATACTTTAATCCAAAAAATACTATATTAATATTCACTAAAAGACACTGAGCAAGCTAGGATGAACCAGACAGACAAGGTCCCTGCCCTCAAGACTACTGGAAGTAAATACTCCATTTGTTTATTCCTGCTCCCTACTCTCTTCCTAATGTCCTTTAGAATGAGTTGAATCTAATATAAGCAATTAGTCTTCAGATTGCTGCTTAGGCTTTTAAAATTTGTGCTCCAAAAGTTGAAAAAGAAAAACTTTAGTTTAATATCTAGAAAGAGATGTATGATGCCTGGGTGGCTCTGTCAGTTAAGCAATTGCCTTCACCTCTGGTCATGATCTCAGGGTCCTGGGCTCCCTGGACTCCCTGCTCAGTGGAGAGTCTGCTTCTCTCCTGCCCCTACCCCCAACTTGTGCTTGCTCACACTCTCTCTCAAATAGATAAAATCCTTAAAAAAAAAGAAAGAAAGAAAGCAGATATGTGCCTATCTCTTAGGTGAACTTTCAGCTTGTTTAGATAAATTATTTCAAACCTTATCTCTAACTCTTCTCCATTCTCTTGGACTT